TTAAGTTCCTCCTAATACTCCTATACGTGCAAACATATGGTAAATTGCCACAAAAGAAATCTTAAAGGGTTACCAAATAGTTATCAGCTGAAAAAGTTTTTCTCCACATTGTTTTATTGGTGAGCTTTCCTCCCAAAATTTCAAGAGAAGAATAATTCCTGTGCTATAAAACCTATTCTAGAAAATATAACTTAAAAAGGAAAGTAAGTCAATTCACTATGAAGCTGGCATAGCTGTGATACCAAAACCTCATAAAAATTGTTCTGAAAAAGAAACTTGTAGACCTATTATAAATAAAATGCTAGCAAATCAAGTTCAGCAGAATTTAAAAATATAAACACTGTGTGATATATCTATGTGTCAACAAGCCAAATTTTAAAAGCATTGGCTCATTATACTTGCTTCCAAAAAGAAGTGTTTGAAAACGTTAAGTACAAAGTCCCATTTTTTTTCATTATTAAAAACTAGAAACAGAACAGTATTTTATTAACATAAAAAAGAATATTTTTCTCAAATGAACAGGCAACATTGTACTTAATATTAGAAATCGGAGCTCTAATAAAATTGAGGAAAAATAAATATACCTTTTCTTATCATTATTCTTTAATTCCCATATATTATGGGAATTAATGTATTCCCAAACATTATTGTTTAGGAGGTTCTTTTTTTATGAAATAAGATATAAAACAGAAACAAGAATCTAGTTTTAAAAAAAAGAAAAAGGATAATTCTCCTTTGAGTATTCAATAAAATCAACTAAAAAATGTTTTCAGTCAATAAGGGAATTTTTTAAGTACAATCTGTAATATAACATATAATATAGAAGATAAATGTACAAGATCAATAACTTTCTATATAAATTGTTGCCAATTCAAAAAAAAGATTGAATATGATTGTATTCTCAATGGTAACCAATAGCAAAACACCTACAATACATGTTAACAAGAAATGAAGGGGACCTATTCATTATTCAACAAATACTAAGTATCTGCTATGTGTCAGATTCTATATTCAGTGTGTGGAACATAACTGTGAGTGAAGTGGATAGAGTTCTCACTGCCGTGGACCTGTACAAATAAAACTAAGAAACTGCTGAGAGATAAAAATCAAGACTTTTTTCAGAACACTGTACTTTGATAGTAGATGAAAAGACTGAATGTTGGCAATGTTATGCACAGAATAATTTATAGGATTCACAAAATCCCAATTTTAAAAAATTGCAATGGGATTATTTTTAAAAACTGGCAAAATGTTTCTAAAGTTTGGAAGAATAAAACTTGAGAATAACAAAAAATAATTGTAAGCAAAAGTACTTATAAAAGTAAGCTTCATTAAAAAGAAAAATAAATGATGAAGCTATAGTGGTTAAAACAGTACAGTACTCTCTTACAATTTAATTGTCTTAATAAAGACAATTCCATTAAAAACAGGCAGAGGAGGGGCGCCTGGGTGGCTCAGGCAGTTAAGCATCGTGACTTTGGCTCAGGTCATCATCTTGTGGTTTGTGGGTTCTAGCCCTGCCTCAGGCTCTGTGCTGACAGCTCAGAGCCTGGAGCCTGCTTCGGATTCTGTGTCTCCCTCTTCTCTCTGCCCATATTCCATTTGTGCACATCCTCTCTCTGTCTCAAAAATAAATAAATGTTAAAAAGTTTAATAAAAGCAGGCAGAGGATTTGAATAGAGATTTCTCTAAATAAGAGCACATGAAAACATGCACAACATCATTAGACCTCAGAGAAACACAAATCAGAACATCTTGGATGGCTAGAATTTTTTAAAAGATCGTAATAAATGTTGACAACAACGTGAAGAAATTAGAACCCTCATACACTGCTGGTGGGAATGTAAAATGGTGCAGCTGCTTTGGGAAACAATATGGGACTTCCTCAAAAGATTAAACAGAGTATATAGATATCCAGTAATTCCACTCTAAGAAATGAAAACATGTTTACACAAAAACTTGTACATGAGTGTTCAGAGCAGCATTATTTAAACTGGCCAAAAAGTGGAAACAACCCAAATATCTAGGAACTGATGAGTGGATCAATAAATGAGATTTATCCATACAATGGAGTACTATTCAGCCACTAAAAGGAAATGGCATAGTCATGGCTAAAGCATATTGAAACTCAAAAAACAGTGTGCTAAGTGAAAGAATCCAGCCATAAAAGACCACATACTGTATGATTCCATTTATATGAAGCATCCAGATGGTCAAATCCAATGACACAGAAAGTGGTAGCCTCAGGCTGAGGGGACTGGGGGAAATGGGGACTGACTATTGGTGGGTAAAGGATGTCTGTTTGGTGTGATGAAAATGTTGATCACGGTGATGGTTGCACAGATCTGTGAATTTACTAAAAAGCCATTGAATTGTACATTTAAATGGGTAAGCTCTATGGTCTGTGAATTATACCTCAATAAAGCTTTTATTTAAAAATAAATTGTGTGGTACTGGCACAAGAACAATTAGAGCATCACTACTTCTAAAACAACCCCCTGCTGTATAAGAACTTAATCTAGGATAAAGGTAGTAACACAGAGCAATGCAGAAGCTGAAACAAGAACTTGGGGAGAAATATACCAAATTAGATTGTCACTTTGTGACAAAAATGAATTTCTTGTGGATCAAAATTTAATATGAAAAAATCAGGCCATATTTTAAGGAGGAACAAAATCTTTGAATGAGAAAAGGCTTGCTAAGCTTAAAACTAATAAGGAGAAATGCCCATAGATTTCATTTTATGAATTTAGAATTCTTAGTCTTAATATCAGAAACAAAATAAAACTGTGAGATTTGAAAAATTTTTTTCAGTGGTGAAAGAGGGATAATTAATTTTAATAATCAAATTGCTAAGGGAAATAGTTCCTTATATACATGGGTAAAGCATAATGAACAGATATTTCACAAATGAGAATCTGCAAATTACAATGAGATAGTATTTTTCAATCATCACATTACTAAAACAATTTTATTAAATCATATGAATTTAATAGTAGCACCAGTGACTCAGATACAAGACTGATACAGCTTTCTCGGAAATCCACTTGGCATGCTCAAAACCGTTCAGATCCTTTGACATAATAGTTCTACATCCAAAATCTACCCTGAGGAATATATTTGAAATGCAAAAATTTATTGAAAGATGCATATGTCATTAAATCGTGACCCTTAGCTTTTCATTTTTTTCTCCAGGAATATTGACTCATGAAGACCAAAGCCTGGTGAAGGTGGGCCTACTGTGTCTCCTATCTTCCCAGAACCATCCTGTTCCCCAAGGAAGATGTAGGCATGGAGCAATGGCAGCTCCAACGGGTCCTACACCAGCTTCCTCTTGCTGGGCTTCCCTGGGCTGCGGGAGGCCCACGACCTCCTGGTGCTGCCCTTCCTCAGCTTCTACCTGGTGATCATCTCTGCCAATGTTCTGGTCATCCACACGGTAGCGGCCCAGCGGAGCCTGCACCAGCCCATGTACCTGCTCATCGCCCTGCTCCTGGCTGTCAACATCTGTGTTGCCACCACCGTGGTGCCCGCTATACTGTTCAGCTTCTCTACCCACTTCAACCGCATCTCCCTGCCTCGCTGTCTGCTCCAGATGTTCTGCATCTACTTCCTCGTTGTCTTTGACTGCAATATCCTCCTGGTCATGGCCCTAGACCACTGCGTTGCCATCCTCTACCCTCTGCGCTACTCTGAGATAGTGACGGGCCAGTTGCTGGCTGGCCTGGTGGGGGCTGCAGCTGCCAGGAGCACTTGCATTGTTGCCCCAGTGGTGGCACTGGCCTCCCGGGTTCGTTTCTGCCGCTCAGACGTGATCCATCACTTTGCTTGTGAGCACATGAAGCTCTCCTGTGGGGACATCTCCCTGAACAAGACTGTGGGTCTCACTGTCCGCATCTTCCACAGAGTCCTGGACATGCTGCTGCTTGGAGCCTCCTACTCCCTCATCATCCATGCTGCCTTCCGGATTTCATCAGGCAGAGCACGTTCCAAGGCCCTGAACACCTGCGGCTCCCACCTGCTAGTCATCTTCACCGTGTACTCTTCCGCCATGTCCTCATCCATAGTCTACCGTGTGGTCGCACCGCCTCCCAGGACGTGCACAACTTGCTCAGCGCCCTCTACCTGCTGCTCCCATGTCTGGTCAACCCTATTATCTATGGGGCCAGGACCAAGGAAATCAAGCAGCACCTGGCAACTCTGTTTCAAGGGGCACAGCTACTACCCGCCCCCCCGCAGAAGCCCCAGTCCCTGCCTTTACATAGGGAGCTTCCCACCTGACTCTTTGGGACTTGCAGGTCCTACAAGCACTCTCACTGTCAAGTGGGTCAATGTGCTATTCCAGAAGGTAGAGTCATCCCTGCTGTATTTTGGCTTTAACTATCTGCATTCATCTTTGAAAGTCTTTTATCCATTTTCTGAAAATAGCTAGTCATCCAGAGTTATACAGTAACCAACTCCAAAGTAAGCTTTTTTCTCTAGCTTCTAAATTTTCTCCCCTTCACTCTGCATGTGATTTTCATTCATTCTCACATTCATTCATCAGACTTCTATTTTACATACATCATGCTAACCCTGTGATTGCAAAGGGAAAAAAGAAATGGTCTCTTCCCTGAAGGAGGCTCCAGTCTATAAAGTTCCCAAACTATAAAGACAGGTAATGTTCAATAACACCTTTATGTACAAAACCCTGTGGGAACATAGGGGAAGGACAATTACTAAGACAGAACACTTCACAGAGAAGGTCAATCTGAGTTATGTTTGAAAGATAAGATAAGGTGTTTACTGGAGAGGAAGGAGACAGAAGAAAAGGCATTCCAGGCCAAAGCAGCAGTGTGGGGAAAGGCACATGGGTAGATGGCTGAGTGGGAAACTCCCCACAAGGTCCAGTTTCCCTGGCACGGGGCAGGTGGGGGCCTGGCAGGGAAGGAGGCTGAATGCATAAGCAGATGAAAGGCCTCATCTGTTGTGATAGAGTTTGAATGTTTACTCTATGCAGTATGCAGCCATTTAAAGAGTCTAAAGCAGCAAAGTGGATCCTACCTGTGTTTGGGAACAATGGCTCTGCAGCCCTAATAGAATGTGGATCAGAGGGAGATGAGCCTGGAGGCTGGGATACTGGAGATGATGGTGGCCTGGACCTGACTGGTGACAGTAGGAAGGAGGAGTAGGAAGACAGATACAAGAGATTCCAGAAAGTTGAGTTTGCATGTGAGGGTCAGAGAGGCAAGAGGAAACTAAGGGGAGAGTGGCCTCACCAAAGTTCAGGGAAGAGGACCTGTAGGTGGTTTAACCTGTAGGGAAGCCCATCAGAGGACCTGTAGGTGGTTTAACCAACAAGGAACTAGTATCCAGAGTATATAAAGAACAACTACAAATCAGTAAGAAAAAGACAAGTTAATAGTAAAATAGGCAGAAGACTTGAACAGTCACTTCAGAAAAAAAGCATAAGAAAGGTATTTGACATCCAGCCTCTCATATATAGATGTTCAGGTTGTGCACTGTACAACTTCACATCTCTATAGTATAAACATAGCAGATTTATATACGTATTTCAAAATTTCCCAGAAGATGACAATGAAAACTTTTATGCACTACTAGGGAGACTGTAGATTGGTGAACTACTCTGAAGACAATTTGCCATTATCTAGTGAAACTGAAGATATGCATACCTCTTGACCCTATCAATATCCTCAGACATATGGGCATCAAAATACATGTACAGGATGTTCATGGTGGCATTGTTCCTAATTGTGAAAAACTAGAAATAAAATAATGTCCTTTAGCAATAAAATGTGTAAATAGATTATAGTACAATCATATCCTAGAATGCTACTGACAATAAAATACAGTTACAAGTACAACATCCATTCATGATAAAAACTGTCTGCAAAGTAGGTCTAGAGGGAACATACCTCAACATAATAAAAACCATATATGAAAAACCCACAGCTAACATCATAATCAATGATGAAAAAAAAAATCTGAGAGTTTTTCCCTAAGATCAGGAACAAGACAAGGATGTCCTCTCTCACCACTTTTATTCAACATAGTACTAGAAGTCCTAGACACAGCAATGAGACAACATAAAGAAATAAAAGATGGGGCAGAGGGGGGGGGGTGTCTGGTTGGCTCAGTCAGTTAAGTGTTTGACTTTGGGCTCAGGTCATAATCTGGCAGTTCTAGAGTTCGAGCCCCATGTCAGGCTCTGTGCTGACAGCTTGGAGCCTGGAGCCTGCTTCAGATTGTGTCTCCCGCTCTTTTAGTTCTTCCCTTGCTTGCATGCACAAGTGTGCAGTGTCTGTCTGTCTATCTGTCTCTCTCTCTCAAAAATTAAAAAAAAAACGTAAAAAAAAAGAAATAAAAGACATCCGAATTGATAAGAAAGAATTAAACTCTCACAATTTGTAGATGACATACTAAATACAGAAAACCCTAGGGTCCACCAAAAACTACTAGAACTGATAAATGAATTCAGTAAAGTTGGAGGATACAAAATCGATGTAAAGAAATCTGTTGCATTCCTATATGCTAATAATGAAGCAACAGAAAGTGAATTTAAGGAAGCAACCCATTTCCAGTTGCATCAAAAACAATAAAATATCTAGAAACAAACTTAACCAAAGAGGTTAAGAGATCTGTACTCTGAAAACTATAAAACAGTGATGAAAGAAATTCATGACAACACAAAGAAATGTAAAGACATTCCAGGCTCATGGGTTAGAACAAATATTGTTCAAATATCTATACAACCCAAAACAACCTACACATTTAATGCAATTCTTCTCAAAATACCAACAGCATTTTTCACAGAGATAAAAACAATCCTAAAATTTGTATCAAACCACAAAAGACCTCGAATAGTCAAAGCAATTCTTGAAAAAGAAAAAAACCAGAGGTATCACAATTCTAGATTTCAGGCTCTATTACAAAGCAGCAGAATTAAAACAGTATAGTACTGACATAAAAACAGATGCATATATCAATAGAATAGAATAGAAAACCAAGAAATACACCCACAATTATATGGTCAATTAATCTTTGACAAAGGAGGAATAAATATCAAACAGGATAAGATAGTCTCTTCAACTAATGGAGTAATGGTGTTGGGAAAACTGGACAGCTACATGCAAAAGAATGAAACTGGACCACTTTCTAAACATACACAAAAATAAACTCAAAATGGATTAAAAACTTAAATGTGAGACCTGAAACCAAAAAATCATAGAAGAGGTAGTAATTTCTCTAATATCAGCAAGGGAAATAAAAACAAAAATAAACTATTGAGACTACATCAAAATAAAGTTTCTGCACAGCGAAGGAAACAATCAACAAAACTAAAAGGCAACTAACCTTCAGAATGGGAGAATATATTTGCAAACAACATATCCAATAAAGGGTTAGTATCCAAAATACATAGAAAAAATCTGAGACCTGTTGGTGAGCAAGGAGCCCAGCTCCCTCACCGCTTGTGTGGAAAAATTCGGAGGCATGTGTTTTATGCCATTCTACGGCGCTTCTCGGTGGGATTTAGCTCTGGTCACCCATTGCAGAGCTACCTTGTACTTCATGGAGAGTTCACATCAACACCTGGTGCTGAAGGGGCTACCCAAATTAAGACTTCTCTCCAAGCCCTTCTCCACTGTTTCTGCTGCCATGAAGCCAAATCTTAGTTGACAGCACCAGGAAGCCCCAGGGCAGATGTGGAGTCCGGAAGTGCTTTTCTGACCTGCAGCGACCCAGCACACTGCATTGTGAGGCAGGGCCACTGGGAGGACGCCGGAGGCCGGGCACCTGCGGAGGATCAGTGGTCGGGAAAAAGGAGCTGAAGTGGGGTCTTCTGTACAGAAGACAGCAACTATGGCTTATCCTGACTCGGCCCAGCGTCCCCTCTTTATCCCTGTTAAATATGGCGAAATGGCCTCCAGGAGGGAAGAAGTAAAGAAGAAAGCTCTAGGTCTTACTCAAAAGCAGTGGCAGGAGCTATTGCGAGTTCGCTCCTGTGCAACCTTTCCCCCTCCTCCCTCACTCTCCCACATGCCCTGAGATGAAGTGTCTGACTGAGGGCCTAGTCTCTTCAGCAACTGGGATTCTTCTCAAAGAGTAGCATCATTTCCACCACATGTTCGTGATTAAAGCAGGTCTTCTGGCTAATACTATTTCAAGGAGAGAAGACTTCACAAAGGGCTACCTCAAGAAACAAGCCAAAGTACAGATGGTGGAGAGTCCAAAATACCACTACGAGTAGGGAAAAAAATAACCAAACACTCAACAAGAGAAACCAAGAGACACGATTCAAAGAACACTTCCTGAACGGATAGGCCCTAGACAGTCAAAGAGCCCTCTTTAATACAGCAGCACCCACAGGGGCAGAGTGCATAACAAGCTTTTAAAATTAACAAGAGACAGAAAGCTAACCAAAATGACAACACGGAAGAACTCTCCTCCAAAGAAACTCCAGGAAGAAATGACAGCTAAAGAACTTCCCAAAACAGATATAAGCAAAATAACTGAACAAGAATTTAAAACAATAGTCATAAAATTAATTGGTGGGCTTGAAAAAGGCATGAAAGACATCAGAGAAATTATTGCTACAAAGACATAGAGCTTAAAAATAGTTGTGATGCTTAAAAATAGTTGTGATGAATTAAAAAATGCTGTAAATGAGATGCATAATAAAATGGAGGCGTCCAATGCACGGATTGAAGAGGCAGAAAGGAGAATAAGTGATTTAGAAGACACCATTATAGAAAAAGAGGAAGCTGAGAAAAAGAGAGACAAACTTATCCAGGAACACGAAAGGAGAGTTCGAGAGCTCAGCAATACAATCAAACGGAACAATATCCATATCATAGGAATTCCAGAAGAGGAAGAGAGAGGGAAAGGACCTGAAGGAGTCCTTGAACAAATTATAGCAGAGAACTTCCCCAATATGGGGAAGTAAATAGACACTGAAATCCAAGAAGCACAGAGAACTCCCCTCAGACGTAACTTGAATCGACTTTCTGCACGACATATCCTAGTGAAACTGGCAAAATATAAGGACAAAGAGAGAATTTTGAAAGCAGCTAGGGAGAAAAGGGACCTAACATACAAAGGGAAATCTATCAGATTTCTGTCAGATCTATCTACTGAAACTTGGCAGGCCAGAAAGGAATGGCAGGAGATCTTCAATGTGATGAACAGAAAAAATATGCAGTCAAGAATCCTCTATCTAGGGGCGCCTGGGTGGCTTAGTCGGTTAAGCGTCCGACTTTGGCTTAGGTCATCATCTCGCGGTTTGTGGGTTCGAGCCCCGCGTCGGGCTCTGTGCTGACTGCCAGCTCAGAGCCTGGAGCCAACTTCAGAGTCTGTATCTCTCTCTCTCTCTCTCTGACCCTCCCCTGCTCACACTGTCTCTCTCTCTCTCTCTCCTAGATAAAAAAAAAAAAAAAAAAAAAAAAAAAAAAAAAAAAAAAAAGAATCCTCTATCCAGCAAGCCTGTCATTCAGAATTGAAGGAGAGATAAAAGTTTTTCTAAATAAACAAAAATTGAAAGAATTCGTCACCACTAAACCAGCCCTACAAGAAATCCTGAGGAGGACTCTATGAGGGAAATGTTGCATGGAACGCAAGGTACCAAAGACACCACCACAAGCATGAATCCCACAAAAGACACGATGACTCTAAACCCATATTTCCCAATAATAACACTGAATGTAAATGGGCTAAATGCTCCAATTAAAAGACATAGGGTAGCATAATCGATAAAAAAAAAAAAAACCAAACCAAAATCCATCTATTTGCTGTCTATAAGAAACTCATTTTAGAGTACACCTTCAGATTGAAAGGAAGGGGATGGAGAAATATATATCATGCTACTGGAAGTCAACAGAAAGCTAGAATAGCTATACTTATATCAGACAAACTGGACTTTAAAGTAAAGGCAGTGACAAGGGATGAATAAGGGCATTATATAATAATTACAGGGTCTATCCATCAGGAAGAGCTAAGAATTATAAATGTCTATGCACCGAATATGGGAATACTTAAATATATAAAACAATTAATCACAAACAGAAACAATCTTATGGCTAAGAATGTGCTAATAGGGGACTTTAATACTCTACTTGCAGCAATGGATAGATCAACTAGACAGAAAATCACTAAAGACACATTGGACCAGAT